AATATTTCAGTCAATTGCTCATATTGATGACATCTATCACATATCAAAAGTTATGCGATAAAAATTTACTTAAACGAGAGATATAAGCATTTCATCACTTTTAGGAGAAAAATATATATCGAACTCTGAATCATTGAAAATAGATGCAGAGTAAAGGTTGCTTACTACGAGTAGAATAACTTTTCCAATAGAAATGACAGCTAAAAAGCCATGAATGCCCCCTTTCTCTTTCCTCTCTCTTCTCATCTTCCTCTTCTTTCTCCTTTCATACTCTTCTTCCTTCCACGACAAGCCACGAATGGGGATGTCTAGGGTACTTAGTACTTAAGGTTTTGAATTTCATATATATAAAAATATTGTTAATCTCATAGCACCACAATGCTCCAACCCGACACCACATCGCTGCATAATATATTCGAAATTACCATAGAACAAAGCCTCAAATGCCGCAAAGGCGATTTCTGGCACCACTACGCTCACAGACACAACACCACATCGTTCACATGCTCCGCGTCACAGTGCTTCAATTCAAACAAAAAAAATCATATTTTCATTTTTTTACAACATGTATTGGTTTACTATAAGATGGCCATTTTATGTTAGATTTTCCCAATGACTACTCCAAATAACCCATCGTTTAAATATCACCATAATATCTGCTCGTAGACTTTAAATCCTATCATTCACTCCTTTTGGATTATCCTAAATTCTCTAGTGTTATACCTCATCTCACTTGTATATCAAGCAAAGCAACAAAATAGTTAATACCACCTTGTTTGTTGGGTATCACTAAAAAATCCACCAATCCATCCCACAACCTCACATGTGGTTTGGGAGTGTTAGAAATTCTCTTCCCTTCCATTTGGTTTTTTGGGTTTGGCTTTCATCAATGTTCTCAAAGGGAATATATACAACATGCTTGCTACTCACACACAAATACATAATTGCCCACATATGCACCCTTATGTTTTATTTTTCTTGTAAATTTTCTCTCTATGGTCTACATTGTACTTTTCTTGTTGATGTAGTAGGAACATTGGAATTTATTCATTTGAAAAATCATGTAATTTAAATATGGTAACATTTAAGGATAATTGAACTAACCCATTTGGTATAAATATATGCTTTTTCTGGAATTTATTGTAACAACTATACTGATTCTCATATTTGGGCTAAGATTTATAATAATTATAAATTTATAATCTATTAGTGTGGTATGATCAACAGCTTTCTCCCTAAATACATGAGACACGTTTGATCTTCTGTCTGCCTCCTCCTTCACTTATACCTTTAGGACTTTTTCCTCGACTCCTCTTTATCTCACTCAACTCTTAAATCCAATAGTAAAATAGAGAATAAATAATTAGATATCACTTAAGATTAGGAGTACAAACAAGTCAAGTCAACTCATAAGCCAGTTTGAGCTCATGAGTCAAGTTTATCAAGTTTCGAGCTCAAGTTCAAGCAGAATTTCAAGCTTGTTGGATTATCGAGATCAAGTTTGAACTGTGGAAGGCTCGACTCGATTACTCGTTGAGCGGCTTGAATGTCCAAGTGGAACCGCTAAATCGAAGAAAGAAGGGGGAACGGCGGGGGGCAGGTGTGGGCTCCGAAAATTCCATTTTGAATGTATGATCTCGGCCTCTCCACGCCATCGATTTAGTTTTCTGTTAAGTGTTTGTGAAACGATGACGGCAGAGAGTTTTAACGTGATTAGGTTCCGGGAGAATTTTCAGAAGCCAGATTGGGTTTTAGATAAGACACTACCCAGAGATTTCACCCTCATTTTGAGAGGACTTTTTGATCTGAGTTCTGGTTTCCTATAGGCGCAAGCCCTATAGTTAATTACCCCTCCTGATAACAAGAGAGAACTTTCGATTAAGGCTAGTCGTTAAAAGGGACCGGTTGAATAGGTTATAAACCTATCATATAATAGCAATAATTTTAGGGTTTAAATTTTGAATTTAGAAGTTTAAAATTTGAAATTTAGAGTTTATCATCATAAACTTAAAACTGGTGGTGGGGGTAATGAAGACGAGCCCGATCAAGATCGCATGGTTCCGTCGTCCCGGGCTGTCATGATCCCTGGTCTACTTAGTCAGCGGAAGTAGTCGACCCAACCTGACAGAAGGCACCTTGTCTGCAGCCATGGGTTGCTTCATCCAAGAATATCTTGTAGACCTGGGTTGGTATTTGTCTAAGGGGATATATCTGAATCCACCTTAGCTAACAGAGGGCTTTATGCCTATCGAATATACCCTATGATTCATAACTCAAGTGTTTGACGCCTTTAGGGAACATACAGGCTTTGGCCGTGATCGTAATATAATGGTGCCATTTTGCGGCAAAACCACCCGATCAGAGGGCACGTGCCACGTCCCTGTTGGCAAGAGACTATTTGAGGATAAATCATAGTGATACACCTGACATAACATTTTCTCTTTGTGAGCTGAGGTTAATTTCAAATTTATCACCCCCGACAAACGGTTGCGGGAGGTGGATGATTTTTAGTTTTAAGTTTTTAGATGATAGATTTTATTTCAAGAATTTAGATTATTGTTTGATTTAAGATTTGACCCCTCCGGTTGAAATTTTCGATCAACACGACCATCATCGGGGTGAC